CCGCCCGACCACTCATTAAATCCTTGTTCACAATGCGCTGAAACCCCTCACCACCAATTTGCCACGTATGCCTACCCCAACGATCTTCATAGGTTCTAATTCTAACACGTAACTTCTGAACATCTGAAGTATTCCCTAAAACATAACCTGCTACATTTATATCTGAATTATTCATAATGTCGTCTAAACTCTGAAAATAAGGTACAGCTTTTTTCGCCGAATACATGTCAAGCAATGGAGCAGTAAATAGTTTAGTTATAATTGCACCATATAGTATTAGAAATGAACAACAAATGAATATTTTATATTGTTGAGATAAATTTTTCTTCGTGGCCGCTTTTATATAGTTTACAATCGTGGGACTCGACTGTACTGTATATGTCATTATAATGTATGTATAGGTATTGTATAAACTAATATGATTTTTGGTGATAATGTTTAGCATTATTCCGGTTATAAGTAACGCTATAAACATCGCTAACCAACTCTAGTTAAAAATAGTTTAAGTTTAAAATATAATCTTGATTAAAAATATATTTCATTTTAATTAGTGATAATGTATTTACCGTTATATCAAACACGTAGACAAAATTAAAATACGTGAATGTCTTGTGTGTTTTAAGCCCTGATAAAATCTCGATACTATAAAGGGATTCCACCGCGATCAAATCAGTTTTATTTAAATCTATATTTTTGGTGTCGGTTATCTCGTTTAATGATAATGAGTTGTGCTAAATAATATTTATTAAATTTTATTATTTTATTTAAACAAAATTTATTTTATTTAAACAAAATTTATTTTATTTAAACAAAATTTATTTTATTTAAACAAAATTTAATTAATTTAAATCATTTGCATGAATAAATTACAAAACATAAAATTTACGTATTCTAACATTTCCACATAAATTTGTTAATAATTAATATATAAATTATACAATTAATTAACTTACCATATTTAAATCATAATGTTTTGTCATGTTAACCTGTAAACCTAAATCACATAATAGATACTGCATAAATGCGATATAGTACATTACAATTTGTTCCTGTTTAAACAAACAATAGTAATTATTTAACTTTTATTTTAATAATATATTTATAATCATCTACCGTATCAAGATGCAATACCATTGACCCATTGCTTGTGACATTATGGTCACACTCATAAAGTCTAGACTCAAATGGTTTGTTATAATTGATATAATGATAGGGAATAATATTAAAGTGATCATAAAATGTATCCAGGTGACATATTCTTTCAACACAATGTTCGTTGTGCATAATTACAATTTTTAAAACTATTAAAATTATATGATGATTTCAAAACTTTATATAGAATTAGATATATCGTTATTGCATGAATTATGAGCACTAAACTTATTATTTTGCATACTTTAAATCACATTTATTAAACTTAAGAGTATCTATAACATAGGAAAGTGTAATAATTAAAATAGTTAATTAGTCTTAATAGTCAACATATTTATTTTATTATATATTGCAATATTGCACATAAACACGTAAAATTTATAATAATCAATAAAACAAATCTGTTACGTTTATACAGTATATTGTATTTATCTATTTCAACAAAATGGAAATAATTATAATAAAATAAATACATTATTCAATCAATAACTTCTGGTATTGTAATATCAAATGTTAACATTAATATAATTAAATTTAATATATTATTACATCATAAACTAATGCAATAATAAATTATGTAACTTATTATGGTTTAACTAATTTAACAGTATTAACATATCGTTTTAGATACAAATTGTAATCATGATATTTGTTAATCTCTCCTTTATAATAACTTTTAACTATACTCTTATTATTATATTTAAATGTACAATTATTGCATTTATTTATAATTAATTCAATGCAAACACAAACAATGGCAATAGGATATAAAATAGCCAAAATGGAAAATATATTTTTCAAAACATCTCCTAATTTAATGGGAGCATGATCATTTTCATCTGTGATTATTATATCACTTTTTTGACCATAATTTGCATAACTTGTTTTTTGCAATATAAGTTTGTGAAACTCTTGTTTATGTTGATGAAATCCGTTTTCTATTATTTGCATTAACCTATAATTATACATTAGGTTTAAATTGATAATATTTTAATAAATTTAAATAATTTATTAGAAATTTAGCCATAAAATCTTAAAATTTATCAGGTTCTGTAAATAAAGTAGTTATTATAAATATATTTATAAAAGTTCTGTGGATTTATAACTTAAATGATAACTAATAAAAGCATTTAAATATAAGAGGTTTATGACACTTGTTTGATAGAAACTTGTTCAAAAAATTAACTTAAATTTACGAATTGGCAAATGAAACCTAACCTGATCTACTTTAAACAAACTTATATTAACTTAAATAATAATAATACTAGCAATTTTTATTAATTTAATACATTTAAAAATTTTAATAAATTTTTTTGACATTTTGTCTGCATCACAAATATAAGTTACATTAGTATATTTTTTCACTTACATGAATTTCATTTTATCGTACCACACATTGTCTTTCGATACATAATTATAGGAATACATGAGATAATATTTAGTGTCCGACACTTTATAATCGATGTCAATTTGCATAGATCTTAATTCTCTAATCAAATACTCGGTTTTTCTCCGGGAGTCAATCACCACAACTGCGCGCCCTTTCATTAAATCCTTGTTCACAATGCGCTGAAAGCCTTCATTTTTCACAGAATAGTGTCTTTTATTAGTGCGATTTTCGTATGCATTAATTTTATGAGCTAGGTGCTTAACATCTGGTGTGCTCCCTCTACTACTGCCCGCCACATCTATGCCAGTGTTATTCACGATGTCATCTAAAGTCTGAAAATAAGGTACAGGTTTTTTTGCCGAATACATGTCTAGCAATGGAGCAGTGAATAGTTTCGTTATGAATAGTCCGTATAATATTATAAAAGTACTAAAAATAAATATTTTATATTGTTGAAACAAAGTTTTAATTTTGGTTGCTTTCATATAGTCAACAATCGTGGGACTCGACTGTACAGTATATGTCATTATAATGAAAGTATAAGTATCGTATAAATTGCTGTGATTTTTGGTGACAATGTTGAGTACTATTCCGGTTACAACTAATACCATGAGCATCGCTAACCAGATCTATTATAACATGTCATCATAATTATAACATGAATTAAATTTTAATTATTAATAATGTAATTACCGTTATATCAAATACGTGGACAAAATTAAAATATGAGAAATTATTTTGTGTTTTAAATCCGGAAATAATCTCAATAAAATATAGAGACTCCACCGCGATCAAATCTAATTTATTTATATCCATATTTGCGTTGATATTCTCGTTTAACGAAACCGAGTTGGGCTAGATAAATTTAATTTAAATATATATTTTAATTCAAATAAGGATAATATTGTAATATCTATAGGTTAACTACAATTCAGGACTTCCAATAAAAAGCATTATCTTTATAGAATTATAGAAAAAGCAATAGTCCCATAGGATTAACATTACTCTCATAGACTTAACATTACCGAAATGATTAACATTATTAATAATAATTTTAATTATTATATATCAATATTTAAAATTATTAATATACATTATTATTGTTAATTTACTGGATGACAGGCCTGTTCGCAAACTAAGTAACCTACTCCTGTACATGTCCCAGGTACAATTGTAAATATGCCTGAGCCTCACGGACAAAACATTAAATATTGTTAATTAATATACATGATTAGGATTATATACACAATATTTACGTACCATGTCTGAATTGTCTTTTTTGGTTATGTTAACCAATAAACCCAAATCACATAATAGGTATTGCATAAATGACACATAGTACGATAATATTTCTTTCTACAATTTTAAATAATTATTATTTAATAAAATTATAGTTATAAAAAGTATAAAAAATTACAATATTATACCTTATCAATGTGCAGTACCATTGTTCCATTGGCAGTTACATTATGGTTGCACTCACACAATATTGTGTTGTTGATAAATATGTCTTTCATATAATGGTAGGGAATAATATCAAAGTGATAATAAAACGAATCTAGATGAAATATATTAGATAAATAAAATTCTGAAAACATAATTTAGTTTTAGAATTTTATAAATATTTTAATAATGTATTTAATATTCAGTTGATATTATACGTAGAACGCATTGAACATATGATGTATTTATTTTACCAACATTTATTAAACCTAACAATATGATTGAAAATGCATTAATTAATTAGATTAAATAATCTTAATAATTGATTTATATTTATTACAAAAAATATTGTAATATTATTTGTAGTAAATGTTTTAACTTGATTAAAATCAATAAAGCAACGTTATAGCAAAAGTTGATTAATAAAAATTAATGGAAAATCGCCATAATTGTAGTTTTGTATAATTTAATTCTAAATTTTATAAAATAAATTTTAATTGTTAAAATTATAAACATTGTAATATATTTAGTGTTAGGCAAATGGAAATTCCTAAGAAATTCAACACTAAATATATGTATTTCAGTCTATTATGCGCATATAATAACAAATAAATAAAACTAACTCAACACGTTAAATATAATCCAATTTCATCTATTTTATTAATTTAATCTTTATTATATAATTATGGTTAGAATTAAATTATAAATTATTTGTTATTTTTAAATGTTTTACAATAATTAGTATGAACACTATTATATAATTTATCTCATATGAAATCAGCTTAAACAAATAAAACTTAATAATTGCTGACATATCTTTTTAAATGCAAGTTATAGTCATGGTATTTGTTAATTTGAATTTGGCGATTGACATTTTCAGCAATTTTGCTAGATGTATCATTGTTATAATTCTGTTTGTTTACAATAAATTCAATAAAAATAAATACAAATGCTAACGTAAATAAGATAATTAACATGCTAAATATATTTTTTAGTACATCTACTAGTTTCATAACTAGTTGATCATCTGTTGCCTTTGGAGTTATATCACCATGTTTAGATTCATACTTAAAACGAGATTCATGTTTAGTACGAAAGTAAGTCATCTCTTGTTTATGTTGATGAAATCCGTTTTCGATAATCTGTTTTAACCTAGGTATAAAATTAAGAAATATACATAAAAATTTAACTTTAACAAAATTTTTAATTTTATATAAAATTTTAAAATCTAAATTTCAACTATTTATTTACATAGAATTTACTAATTATTATAATCAATTTGTATTGGTTAAATTAATGCTCATAATTTATATAATCTACCATTTATTTATATGATAATGACATAATTTATATAATCAACGACTTATTAAATACTTACATAAATAAAATCTTTTTATAAAACACGTTGTCTTTCGATACATAATTATACGAATAAATGAGATAATACTTATTGTCCGACACCTTGTAATCGATGTTATTTTGCAGAGCAATCAACTCTTTGGCCATATATGACAACTTGCGTCGGGAGTCTATGACCACAACCGCCCGACCAGTCATTAAATCCTTGTATACAATTCGCCAAAACCCATCCCTACCGACACTCAAGTGGTGAATGTTTGAACGTTTTTTATAACTATTCATTTTGCCATCCAGGTACTTTTGCTCGGGGATACTACCCCCAAGTCCACCAGCTACATTGATATCGGATTTGTTCATAATGTCATCTAATGTCAGGAAATACGGTACAGCTTTTTTTGCCGAATACATTTCAAGCAGTGGAGCCGTAAATAGTTTCGATATAAACAGAGCGTATAGTATTAAAAATATACCAAAAACTAGTATATTATACTTTCTGAAAGAGTATGGCGATTTGTTTATTTCTTTCATATAGTTTACTATAATGGGACTCGACTGTACCGTATATGTCATTATAATGTATGTGTAGGTATTGTATAATGTAATACGGTTTTTAGTTATCATGTTTAATAATAATCCGGTTATAATATACACAACAATGACTGTTATCCATATCTATTTAATAAATGTTAACTACATTTTGGTTTCAATTATTAAGTGAAACTTAATATCAAATAAAATTTACCTTATGATCGAAAACGTGGACAAAATTAAAATACGAGTAACTATTATGTATTGTAAGCCCAGATATAATCTCCACCACATATAAGGACTCGACGGCAATCACATCCAAATGCTTTGAATTGAGGTCAGTGTAAGTCCACTCATTTAATGAGATTGAATTGGCCTAGATCATTATTGAAAATTGCTTGCTTCACATTATAATTGTTTAATATTATTTTATAAATTACATACAATGTCTAAATTAGTCTTTTTGGTTATATTTACCAATAAATTCAAATGGCATAATAAGTACTCGATAAATGTAATATAGTAAGAGCTAATGTACCCCTTTTATGACAAATAATACAATAGATAAATTAACATTGTTAATAATAATCTAATTGCAAAAACAACCTACCATTCTTAGTTGTAATACTGTAGTCCCATTAACTGATACATTATGAGCGCATTCATATAGTCTATCCCTCCTAAATATATAATGCCAGGGAAGGACACCCACGTAATAATTAAAATCGTCAAAATGATAATACTCTGACATTATGGTCGTTGATCAAGTTAATGAATTTTTAATAATTAAGACATTTAACTATAATTGTTGTAATAAATTTCCAAATGACCATAGTTTGTACTTACTATTATAATATGACAATTCTAACTTGTATAATCTATTTTTATAAGCTGATATATTGTCTTTAATCTATATAATGCATCATTACAATAAAAAGTACATTAATTAATTAAATTAATAGATATAATTTTAATAATTGATTTTATTTATTGTAATAACACAATTTGTGTAATAACTAAGTTTCAAAGACTATAATCAATAAATCAAGGTTGTTTCCTAAATACTAAATTCATTTAATTAAGTATAATACAAAATATGTGCAAGAAAACAATTAGAATTATAGTAATTTTATTAATAAAATAAACATTTATCATAATATTAATATCATTTTAAAACATAATTTATTAAATAATGATTATTTATAAGAGTCTACATTAATTATTAAGTTTTACATTATACAATTTATATATTGTAACACAATCCAATAGTATAGTATACTCTTGTTCAATCAAATACCTTTTGGGAACTTGAAGTAAAAAACCAATTGTCATAAATAACATTAAAATTATGTTTTAAAGTTTGGATTAAAAATTATTAATCATTTGAATGAAAGATTTATAGGAATAACATGTGTAATGATATGTATATGGTATAGGAATAACATGGGTAATGCTAAGTCTATGTCATAGGAATAACCTGGATTATTCAATGAGACTAATGCTAAGTCTATGGACTAATGTTAAGTCTATGGACAATTCTAAGTCTATGAGGAGTGCTAATCCTATGGACTCTTATTAAATGTGTAGCTAATGCTAATCTATTCTTTGAGAATCACCCGAATAGTGGTTAACGTATAGCATCGCTGTGTGTGAGTTGTTTATAACTTAATTATTATAATGTTTTCCATAGAAAACTTTAATGTGTTTTGAAGTGAAATGTTGTACTCTTTGAGAACTTCTCATAAAAATATGTTTAAATGTTTAAGACTTTTATTTTTGTAACTAATTTAATACTCAATTCAATTAAACGATTTTAAATATTTAAAATTTTACGTGAAATTTAATTTAGTTAAACATAAGTAAATTCACAGAAATATGAAACAAGAGTCTTAACCATAACTTAAATCTTAGCCTAAAATTCGCCCCCATCTCAGGTATACCTAAGCACTCCATACTTTATATTATTACTACCATGGTAGATTATATTGTTTCTGACATATAAAGTATTATATAAATATTCTAATGTATCATATTATTCCCATTTCTTGTTATTGAACTACTTTTTCCTCTCAAATATAAAGAAAGTATATTTTATATTCCAGAAAGTAATTTAACCGGGATTAATTTAAGTGTCTAACGTTAATTATACAATATTCAATAAATAACATAGTTCACGATAATAAAGTAAATATTAGTGTAATTTTATTTAAATTATAAAACTAAGCATACAAACTGTAAATAAAACATTCTTGATTATTATTTCTCTATTAATATTTTGCAAATAACATTCAAAATTGTTATTTGCTAAAAATTTTTAATCTTGGTTAAATTGAATAAGCATCTTATTATTAATCATACGATAAATTAGACAATGATTTAAATTAGTTTAATATTAAATCTTACGGCCAATAAAGCGCAAAATTTTACCCTCAAATAACACGTGTTTGATGTTTTCATTGGCCAGAAAGTGTGTCCACGCCTTAGGGTCGGGCGCATCGGCGCCGGCGTTATAGTCGGCGTCGAATTGCAATTCAAATAAATCGCTTTTCTCGCTCTCAAACTGTTCGTCCGTTTCAAAGTATTTTCGCCAGTGATTTACAAGAGTGGGCATGAAATCTAAACATTTGTATTGAGTACACATATAAACAATTAAAATACATTATTTTTGCTGCAGTCATTTAAGCTAGACATATAAGTTAGTCATGTTCAGCTTACGTGACCGCCATGTATTGGGAACAAGTATGGGTGTCATTTGTTGGGCATATTATACAGTAGTTGCAATAGTTGACAATCAACAATCTCTCAATTGTTCATAATACATGGCTATTTGTATACATCAAGTAGTCTCAAATTTTTAACTGCAATTTAGCTATGAAATTCATAGTATGAATAATGTGGTTTATAGGATCGTTCTACCTTCTGTCCCTTGCCCACCCCCCCCCCTCCCCCAACCCGATGGGATTTAGCATAAGATTGTTAATCTGTGTGTTAATCTTATGACATAAACTTTACATTGATAATGCTAATCCTATGGAGCTTTTCTCATAAATTTAACCTGGGCTAATGTTATCCTATGGGTAATGGTAATTCTATGGGTCATTATCTCCCATGGGAAAGCAAAATATAAAAGGAAAGGGTAGTTTTTCTTTATGTTAGTCCTATGGAACTAATTTTAAGTATATTGGCGAATGCTTTAAAACGAGTTTCTATGGAAATACAGCTTACGTCTATGACATAGGTCTAACATGGGTAATGCTAAGTCTATGCCAATGCTAATCCTATGCGTAATGTTAAGTCTATAAGACTAATGCTAATCCTATGCACACGAATTGTGGTTAACGTATAGCATCGCGAGTTGTTTTTATTAGATTTTATTATATAGGTGGGCTAAATTCTACTTGTTTTAAAAAATAATAATGTTCAATACGGTTTTCAACTTTGTCCCGCTGAGACCCCTTGGAATATATATAGTACTGGTATTTAATAAACACATTTACTGATGATATTTTGGCGATCGTTGCGATCCGTTTCGGTCGTGATCTTAAGCGCGTCGATCGCCAAACCGTTGTCAGTCAACGCCCGGCGCCACAGCTCTGCCTGCTGTTCAACGGACGGACACCACTCCCGGCGCTTATTGGGCGCCGCTTTAAGGTTCAGATCTGACACATATATAGCGGCGTGAATTGTGCCGCCGGTGGCCAACAATTGACGGCACACTGACATGAGTTGATTCTTATCGGACATGTATTGAAGTGAAAAGTGGGCAAATATTACATCTATTTTGCCCTCCAGTAGACGTATCTCTGGACTCAACGCCGACCACTGGACAGACATGTCTTGAGTCACGTACTCAATGGTGGGCAGAGTGTTGTGGGCGCGCGCGTACTCTGTCATCGCCGGGTCTATGTCTACGGCCACGACTCGCCTGTGCGGCACACGACTGGCCAAATCTGTAGTGTACTTTCCGTCACCAGAACCCAAGTCCATAATAATGTCAAAACATCTGTTAAATAAATATTATAGTAAAATTAATTTTAACTCAATTATAAAATAATTAATGTTACTGAATATTGAACCATTGCTTTAAAATCTACAAAAAAAATGGTGGATATACTTTTGTGCTATGTTTTTATGTCAATTTTATATATTCTCATCATTAAATTATTTTCCTAATTTATAAAACTTTATAAAACTAGTTAAAATAAATTAAATCGTAAGTTGTAAGTACATTTTATTTATCTCAGTGAATAAGTAATCTTTTTTAATTTTTTTAGGCTCAAATATATAAAAGCGACTCTTTTAAAATAATTATGGTTAAAAATTTTTAATATAAAGTATATTTACAGTATATAAGTATGGGTAACAAAAAAGGGCAAAAAAGGGCAAATTCTCAAATATGTTAAATGCCTCAAACAACATTAATGACTATCATAACAATTTTATATGTGTTTAGCATTATATGAATAGTGTATGTTTTTTCATTCATTGACTAATTCATCATTTTGATAAGTCTGCATGCTAAATAAATCATCAAATGTATATAAGTTACTTTATTTAAGATATATTATATAGATTTTATAGTCATATTAATAACATAATGTATCATTATGTATTATTAAATTCAATGTATAACACTTGCCCATTTTTTACGGCAATCGCGTCAATTGTTTTGAAAGCAAAGGTTTTATGCAAACTATGTAAAGAGGCGAAATTTTCAGGTGAAATGTCCATAATTATATTGAGACACTTGTAGTCGAGTTTGTGGTAAAAATCACTTTTATTGAAATAGAGTCAAAAAAGCATGTGTGGGTACAATGTGTTAGGGCTCAAGTTTTATAAGGATAGGGAGTGCCCAGAATTCGTGACGTTCAGACGTCGAATTGAATACGTTTGTTCAGCAAAGTCTGTCGACTTCAAAGTATTCACCGAAAAATGATGCATTATATAGATTAAAGACAATATATCAGCTTATAAAAATAGATTATACAAGTTAGAATTGTCATATTATAATAGTAAGTACAAACTATGGTCATTTGGAAATTTATTACAACAATTATAATTAAATGTCTTAATTATTAAAAATTCATTAACTTGATCAACGACCATAATGTCAGAGTATTATCATTTTGATGATTTTAATTATTACGTTGGTGTCCTTCCCTGGCATTATATATTTAGGAGGGATAGACTATATGAATGCGCTCATAATGTATCAGTCAATGGGACTACAGTACTACAACTAAAAATGGTAGGTTGTTTTGCAATTAGATTATTATTAACAATGTTAATTTATCTATTATTTGTCATAAAAGGGGTACATTAGCTCTTACTATATCACATTTATCGAGTACTTATTATGCCATTTGAATTTATTGGTAAATATAACCAAAAAGACTAATTTAGACATTGTATGTAATTTATCAAATAATATTAAACAATTATAATGTGAAGCAAGTAATTTTCAATAATGATCTAGGCCAATTCAATCTCATTAAATGAGTTGACTTACACTAACCTAAATTCAAAGCATTTGGATGTGATTGCTGTCGAGTCCTTATATGTGGTGGAAATTATATCTGGGCTTACAATACATAATAGTTACTCGTATTTTAATTTCGTCCATGTTTTCGATCACAAGGTACATTTTATTTGATATTAAGTTTCACTTAATAATTGAAACCAAAATGTAGTTACCATTTATTAAATAGATATGGATAACAGTCATTGTTGTGTATATTATAACCGGATTATTATTAAACATGATAACTAAAAACCGTATTACATTATACGATACCTATACATACATTATAATGACATATACGGTACAGTCGAGTCCCATTATAGTAAACTATATGAAAGAAATAAGCAAATCGCCATACGCTTTCAGAAAGTATAATATACTTGTTTTTGGTATATTTCTAATACTATACGCTCTATTTATATCGAAACTATTTACGGCTCCATTGCTTGAAATGTATTCGGCAAAAAAAGCTGTACCGTATTTCCTGACATTAGATGACATTATGAACAAATCCGATATCAATATAGCTGGTGGACTTGGGGGTAGTATCCCCGAGCAAAAGTACCTGGATGGCAAAATGAATAGTTATAAAAAACGTTCAAACATTCACCACTTGAGTGTCGGTAGGGATGGGTTTTGGCGAATTGTATACAAGGATTTAATGAATGGTCGGGCGGTTGTGGTCATAGACTCCCGACGCAAGTTGTCATATATGGCCAAAGAGTTGATTGGTCTGCAAAATGACATCGATTACAAGGTGTCGGACAATAAGTATTATCTCATTTATTCGTATAATTATGTATCAAAAGACCACGTGTTTTATAAAAAGATTCTATTTATGTAAGTATTTAATAAATATGTCAAAATATTTTTACGTTAACAATGGTAGATTATATAGATTATGAGCATTAATTTAACCGATACAAATTGATTATAATAATTAGTAAATTCTATGTAAATAAATATTTGAAATTAAGATTTTAAAATTTTATATAAAATTACAAATTTTGTAAAAGTTAAATTTTTATGTGTATTTTTAAATTTTATACTTAGGTTAAAACAGATTATCGAAAACGGATTTCATCAACATAAACAAGAGATGACTTACTTTCGTACTAAACATGAATCTCGTTTTAATTATGAATCTAAACATGGTGATATAACTTCAAAGGCAACAGATGATCAACTAATTATGAAACTCGTAGATGTACTAAAAAATATATTTAGCATGTTAATTATCTTATTTACGTTAGCATTTGTATTTATTTTTATTGAATTTATTATAAACAAACAGAATTATAACAATTATAAATCTAGCAGAATTGTCGAAAATGTAAACCAGCTAACTCAAATTAACAAATACTATGACTATAACTTGCATTTAAGAAGCTATGTCAGCAATTATTAGGGTTTACATGATTTAGTTAGATTAAATTAATAAATGATAATTTATATAATTTTAAATAATAATTAAAAAACATAAATGACAATTGATGATTTTCCGCTTTTATGGGGAACCTAAACCTCCCACTTCTTTGTTTGTAATTGTCTGCATGAAATTACTTAAAATATTATTACGTTAAACCCTAATACCCCTCCTTCATAACAGACAGAGAATAACTGGATAAAGCTATTTCTATTCAAAAGTAATATATTTATACAAAATTTGTTACCTAGAGATTAACTTTAATAGAAAATAAAGCCCTTAAAGTATTTAAATTATGAAAATGTAAACGTTTTTATGGTCTCTACACTTCCCCTTCCCCTCGTTCGCAAAAGTTCGCTTTGGCCGCCACCCCCTTCCCAAAGTGCTAACGTTATATGCGGGTCACCCCTAATCTAAAATAAGATTTTTATTACATAAAGTCGATTTATTGATTGTAATTTATTTAAGATGTTTATTACGAATAATATTACAATATTTATTGAAATAATATAAATCAATTATTAAATTTTATTAATTAATATTAGTTTCAGTGCTATTTTTAAGTTGAATAAATGTGGTTTAATAAAATTATGCTTAATGCATTTAATGCATTAAAACTAAATTATATATAAAATACATAATTAAGGTGCTTTTAAAAAATCTAATAAATTAATTATGCCTTTAGAATATTGTTTGTCTAAAATATGTCACCTGGATACATTTTATTATCACTTTGATATAATTCCCTACCATCCTATCCTGTATAATAATAAAAAATATGACGTAAGTGAGTCTAGACTTTATGAGTGTATCCATAATGTAACAGGCAATGGGTCCATGGTACTACAACTTAATACGGTAGATCATCATTAATTGTAATTAAAAATTAAAAATATAATAATAATTTATCAAAATTGTAGAAAGAAATATCATTGTACTATGTGTCATTTATGCAGTATCTATTATGCCATTTGGGCTTATTGGTTAACATGACCAAAAGGGGTAATTATGACATTGTAAGTTTTGTGTATACTGAATTTTATATGAATATTTTGTTAATCTAATATTATGCGATAGAATAAGATAACCGTAGATTTAGCATAAGTCCTATAGGATTAACATTACCAATAGGATTACTGAATTGTAGTTTAAAATATTAAAACATTCCCTATTATTCATCCAATTCATAAACTATTATACAATAGATATTTATTCAGTAGTTAAACATCTAGCACTCTATTTAATAAAAATTATGTTTGAATTAAATCCGAGATTTAAATTAAAATTGTCTAGCCCAACTCAGTTTCATTAAACGAGATTATCAACACCAACATGGATTTGAAACGATTAGATTTAATCGCGGTGGAGTCTCTTTATTTTATTGAAATTATATCCGGATTAAAAACACAAAATACATTCACGTATTTTAATTTTATCAACGTATTTGATATAAATGTAAATATATTTTATTTATTATTAAAACTATAATACATTTTCAATTTAAAATATATTTTAATGTTGAGATATTTCAAAATAGATGTGGATTCCGACTCTTATGGTCCTATTTATAACGGGAATCATATTAAACATAATCATCAAAAACCGCATCACTTTATACGATGCCTATACGTTCATCATAATGACATATACGGTACAGTCGAGTCCCACGATAGTAAACTATATGAAAACCAGTAAAGAGCAACACTTATTTCAACAATATAAAATATTCATTTTTTGTTCATTTCTAATAATATACGGCCTAATGATAACGAAATTATTTACGGCTCCATTGCTTGACATGTATTCACCAAAAAAATCTGTACCTTATTTTCAGACCTTAGATGACATCGTGAATAACTCAAATATAGATGTGGCGGGTAGTAGTAGAGGCCACACTGATGACGTTATATACCTAGATAATAAAATTAAATTATATGAAACACGGATAGGCAAGAAAAATTATTCAATTGGAAAGGAGGGCTTTCAACTCGTAGTTAATGCGGGTTTAATGAAGGGACGGGCGGTTGTGGTGATCGACTC